TCCTTCCTTCCTTCCTTCCTTCCTTTCTTTCTTTCTTTTTTCTTTTTTTGAGACAAGGTCTCATGAAGCTCAGACTGGCCTCAGATTTGCTATGTAGCAGAGGACGACCTTGAACTTCTCATCTGCCGTCCTCCATCCTGAGAGCTAGAATTATAGATTATAGGAGTGCACCACTATGCTGGGCTTATCTGGTGCTAGAGAGCTTAGGCAGGGCTTCATGGATGTAGACAACCACTCTAACAACAGGGCTACATCCAGCCCTATACTTTTAATTGAAAAAATATAATCTTATTGAAGAAGAGAGAGAAAGAGAGAGGTAGAGAGAGGGTGTGTGTGTGTGTGTCTTTGGGCATGCCAGGCAGGCACTCTCTACAGTCTTTGAGGTATATGCATTACAAAGTTCATCCATTTAAGAGCATGTCTTAGTCAGGGTTTCTATTGCTGTGAAGAGACACCATGACCACAGCAACTCTTATAAAGGAAAACATTTCATTGGGGTGGCTTACAGTTCAGAGGCTTAGTCCATTGTTGTCATGGTGGAGAGCATGGTGACACACAGGCAGACATGGTACTGGAGAGGTGGCTGAGGCTTCTACATCCAGATTGACAGGCGGCAGGAAGACAGAGAGTGAGCCACTGAGCCTGGCTTGAGCTTCTGAAACCTCAAAGCCCAATCCCAGTGACATATTTCCTCCAACAAGGCCACACCTCCTAATAGCACCACTCCCCAGGGATCTATGGGGACTATTTATATTCAAACTACCACAAAACACTCCCTGGCCCCTATAGGCTTGTAGCCATATCATAAGGCAAAATGCATTTAGTCCAACTTTAAAAGTCCCCATATTCTGCAATAGTCTCCAGCTTGTTTAACAAGTCTCTTCCAAGACTCATGCAATCTCTTAACTGTAACCCCTGTAAAATCAAAATGAAAAAGCAGGTCACATACTTCCAGCATACAATGGCACAGGGTATACATACATTATTATTCCAAAAGGGAGGAAAGGGAGCATAGTGAGGGAATACTGGACAAAGTCAGACCGAAAACCAGCTGGACAAACTCCAAACTCTGCATCTCCATGTCTGATGGCAAATGCTCTTCAGATCGACAGCTCCTTTCAGCTCTGTTGACAGCAACACACTTCTCTTCTCCTGTTCCACTCCCTGTTAGCAGCTCTTCTTAGCAGGTATCCCACAGCTCTGGCATCACCAACATTTTGGGGTCTCCAAGGCAATCCAGACTTCACAGTTTCATACAATGGCCTCTCTAGGCTTCCATACAGGGTCACAGGTGGCACATCTGTAACACTAGGGACTGGAGGAAAGTGGTGAGTTCAATTCCCAGCCTGTGCTTCATAGTGAGCAGGCCAGTTTGAGATACAGCCAGAGCCTGTGTCAAATCAAGAGGGCAACAACAACAAAACTTAAAAAAAAAAAAAAGAGTATGTTTACTTATTCATAAGAGTGTTGACTGACATATAACAAGCATTTTTCTTTTAGTTTGATTTTTTTTAAAGATTTTATTTATTATGTATACAACATTTTGCTTCCATGTATATCTGCACACCAGAAGAAGGCACCAGATCTCATATCGGATGGTTGTGAGCCACCATGTGGTTGCTGGGAATTGAACTCAGGACCTCTGGAAGAACAGCCAGTGCTCTTAACCTCTGAGCCATCTCTCCAGCCCTTAGTTCAATGTTTTTCTTTATTATCATTATCGTTGTTACACTAGAGACTTTTAAATGTTTATGGACTAAATGTGTTCACCAGAGTTCATTGTGGAGACCCTATCTTAGGATTTCTATTGTGATAAAATACCATGACCAAAAGTGCCATAGGGAGAGAGGGGGTAATTTCAGCTTATATTTCCAGGTAACTGTTCATCACTGAGGAAAGTCATGAAGGCTTGCTCCTCATGGCTTGCTCAACCTGCTTTCCTTTTTTTTTATTTTTTGTTTGTTTGTTTGTTTGTTTTTGTTTTTCAAGACAGGCTAAATCAAGACAGGCCCAATTTAGCCACCCATCTACAGTATTTTGTTGTGGAAGCCCAGGCTGATAGACACTTGTAGTTAGATCCATTAGCCCTTTCCCAGTTTTTTTTTTTTTCAAGATAATCCATGACATTTTTATTGAGCCTTTTAGTTTATTACATGAGGTAAAAGGAAAAGCAGTTCTCTTAATACTTTACACAGCTATAGTAAAATATGAGACTTAAAGGGACTTCCAGGGGATTACATTTCTCAAAAATTGAGATATTTTAAACAAGCTTTAACTCCTTGAATTTTCCAGTTCACTCTTCCCTTAAAAGAGTAACAAGCTCTAATTAGTCACATTAAGTTTCAAGGCCAAGTTTTTATTGTTGTTGATGTCCTCAGATCTGATGCACTGGTTTCAGTCAATATCCACTAATTCCATTTCAAAAATGAGTTTGGTGTTTGGTGGAATTCTGTGAGAATTGGCATCAGGCTGTCCTTTCTTTCCATAGGCCCATTCTGGTTCAATCTCCAGGTGAGCCTTTTCTCCTTTACTCGTAGTCAGGAGTGCTTCATCCCATCCTCTGATGCTTCATCCCATCCCATCCCATCCCTTGCCTACTCTGACCTTGAAGCTTAAAGGCTTGGCATTTTTCTTCTTCTTTGAACTTGTTTGAATATTAGTATCAAAAACAGTTCCATCCGGGAGTGTCCCTGTATACCAGCAGTGAACAATGTCTTCCTTTTTGGGAAAGTTGGTGTTATCTCCCTTTTTTAAGAATAAATTTTGTATATTTAGGTGGACCCTCACCAAGAGTCTCTTCAGATTTGGTTCCTTTGGGTTTATCGTTGTCATTAAGCTTCACATTTTTCACTTGTTCAGACACTTTACTTACAGTTTCAGTACACTTGGTTGTAGTCTGTAACCAAATGGTCCTTATTAGCAGTCTTTGCTACATTTTTAATGTTTCCCAATAGTTTATGCTTTGCAAGAACCTTGATAATGTCCTTCTTGGGCAGCTGCTCACTGCTCCACGGTCCATGCACACTGAGGAACAGCCACCGCCATCTTCCCCCACTGCCGCCGCTGCACGCCCCAGGTTTTTTTTTTTTAAATAATGTATTTTATTTTATGTGCATTAGTATACATTTTATGTACATTTTGCCTACATGTATGCCTGTGTGAGGGTGCCAGATCCCCTGGAACTGGAGTTACAGTGTACAGTTGTGAGCTGGGGATTGAACCTGGGTCCTCTGGAAGAGCAGCCAGTGTTCTTAACCTCTGAGCCATCTCTCCAGCCCCCTTTCCCAGTTTTAACATCTTTTCCTTTGCTTTTGGGTTTGAACGGTCCTCCCTGTTCCAAGGTCAGATAAGTACTCTCTGCTATCTTTTTTCTCCTGGTTCTTTCTGTCCCCCCCCCCCCCCCAGTCCTGTCCATATTTATTCTGGTTTAGGATGGAAGGGAAGGCTCTTCTTCAGTTTTATATCTGAAACCTCATTAGCTGGGCCTCCACCGTCTATATTTCTCATGCATTCTTCCAAACTCCCACCAGACTGGCCCATTAACTGTTGCTTACAGTATCTGAGGGTTTTCATAGCCCCAGATTCCACTCTTTAGGTTACTCCTACAAACCAGTTTCAAAGGCTTAAGATCCACACTCACCACAGCAATGGTCTAATTTCTGGTACCCATTTTCTGAATTGATAGCTTTCCAGGTTGCTTCACCAAAATGTCCAACGAAAGCAACTTGAGGAAGGAAGGACTTTGTTGGCTCACAGTTTGAGTTGACAGTCCATCTTGGTGGGGAGGGAGTAGCTGAAGGTGGGCGAAGCAGCTGGTCATATGACCCCTGCAGGCAGGAAACAGGAAGTGATAAATGCCAGTGCTCAGCTAGCTTTCTCTTTATGCATTCCAGGACCTGAGCCTCGGAGTGGTACTGCCCACATTTGAGAAGGATCTTCCGACCTCAGTTAACCCAATCGAGGTAATCCTCCACAGATACTCCCAGAGGCCTGTCTCCATCATGAGTTTAGAGCTTGTCAAGTTAACAGACCTGTACAGAGGTATGCTCATGAAAGACCCCCAGAGGCTCAGGCCCCCAGGATCTCGTCCCAGGACCGAGGTGACCCTAATCACCAGGCGGAGGCAGAAGCTTGATGCAAACAGCACGAGGCTTTATTGCAGTTGTTTAATGAGCTAACCCCATGTTAGCTCAGGCCTTTCATCCACCCACCATGGCGGATGGCTGGGGAAAGATGCCGAGAAGCCACAGGATAGAGATCTTATAGGGCATTGTAAGGGGAGTGTCTAGGGGTATGCACAGGCTCAGGATTGGTGTGCCTCCAGGCTTGGAGGTCTTGCCCTGTGTTGATTGGTCAATTGGTTGTTATGGCCCATAGGTCCTCCCAATAGAGATCTTATAGGGCGTCGTAAGGGGAGTGTCTAGGGGTACGCACAGGCTCAGGATTGGTGTGCCTCCAGGCTTGGAGGTCTTGCCCTGTGTTGATTGGTCAACTGGTTGTTATGGCCCATAGGTCCTCCCAGGGCGGTTGCTATGTTCTGTGCATCATTAAATTGCTGTGCACTTGTCGGTAAAGCACACCCAGAGCCATAAAACATAGCACTACCAGCTAACTTCTGATTGGTTCCTTGCCAGGAGGCAGGTATCTGACTTCCAAGTGACCTTTCAAGGCAAGGACAGGCAAGCACATCTTAGGCTGTTATAGCTGCAGAAATGGGGAGCTGATCCCTTCAGTCATACTGTTAAAAATTCAAGGTATAAAAGGGAGGTGTTGAGAGCTTCCTTCCTCCCGAATCCCTCAGCCCCTGGGTGCAGGAACCCTGGTTACTACTCCTGACCAGTCCTTTTCCTCTTTGTACTAACTGACATGGAACACCATCTTTACTGTAGTATATAAACATGCAAGTTTCCTTCAAGGTTTTCTGTTGTTTCCCTTAATCTGTTCTTTCTCTTCCTGTCACTTTTATTTTTTGTTGTTGTTTTTGTTTTGAGACAGTCTCACTGTGTAGCCCAGGATGGCCCGGAGCTCACAGTGTAGAGGAGGATGACTCTCAACTCTTTGTCCTCCTGTGTCTACCTCCTAAGTGCTAGGATCACAGACACACACCACCATGCCTTGCTTTACGGTCACATTTTTTATTATGACTTTAGATATGTTAATGCAAACCCTCGTTCTTAATTTCCTTGGTTATGCTTGCCTATGTATTCATTATTCTTTATGAAGTCTATAATAAGTTCATTGCATTTTCTGCAAGTGTCATTAAAATCCCATTGGAATTGCATTTATGAAATAATAAATAGATAGAGTTTTCCAGTCCAGGAGCATAGCCGTTCTTTTAGTTGTCTTCATTTCTATCATCTCCTGTTAGAGTGCCCAGTAGAGTTTCATGATTTTTGTTTGTTTTGTTGTTGTCTTTAATGGAGGTGGTGCACATTTCTTAAGAGTTTTGTGTTTTTAAGACACTTTGTAAAATTACATGTTGACTTAGCATGTAAATATAGAGGCAGCTCCCTCCTCCTACCATGCGGGTCCCAGAGATCATACTCAGGCTTGGTGGCAAGCTGCTTGGTTCACTGGGCCATCTTGCCAGCCTCATGTTTGTAGGTTTTGTTGCTCCTGGTAATAGAGTGTCTTTTCCCAGCCATTCATTCAGCCCTCTGCTCGTTCCTTCCCTCCCTTCCTTTTTTTGTGTTGCTGGGGATGGAACCTAGGAACCTGGTTTACTACTGAACTATCCTTCTATCCTCTCATTTTTCTTGGTGATTAAATATTATTGAAATAATAGAAAGTTACCGATTTCTTTTTCTTCTTCTAAGTCTTACTATGTCACTTAGGCTGGTCTTGAATTCACCAACTCAAGGTATCCTCCTGCCTCAGCCTCTAAAGTTGCTGGGACCACAGGTATACATTATAGTGCCTAGCTAGAAATTATTCGTTTTTAAATAATCATATATATGCATAAAACACCTGTAAGCAGTTTGAGCCTGGCTGACTTTCCACACTGATTTTATACCTCTCCTTAAACAGATTTGTTCACCTGTCCCCAGAGAACATGCTGGTCAGAATGCTATTTAATCATTAACTGCTCTTTATAGCTTAACCACATAGGTTTATAGCTGTAATATCCTGTTGAATTTTGCATGCATTTAAGCTTTTGTAAGTGGAGCCATATGTATTCTACTTTCTTAATAGCCACATTGGTGTGTGTGTGTGTGTGTGTGTGTGTGTGTGTGTGTGTGTGTATTCTGAGGCTTACCAGCTACTTGCCTGTTGCTATAGTTTCTTTTCTATGACTCTCAGTAAAATGTACACCTTATTCATCCCTCCACTTGCAGATGGATACTGGGCTGTTCATACCTTCCTAGGCTTTGGCAAGCATCTTTTCCAGGTACAGGTTTCTCTGTGCTGTTGTCCCCATACTGTTACTCCTCGAAGTCTGAAGCTTTGTGTGTTCCTTCCAGAGTGCCTGCTGAGCCTGTAGATGGTGGTTTTGTCCCCCCTGGTCCGGCAGCCCTTTAGTCCCAAATAAGCACACAGAGGCTTATATTAATTATACACTGTTTGGCCGATGGCTCAGGCTTCTTATTGTGCTAGCTCTCTCTTAATTTTTAACCCATTTCTGTTAATCCACATATCTCCACATTGTCTTGGCTTCCCAGGGATGTCCAGGCCGCTTGCTTCCTCGGCATCTACATGGCATCTCCTTGACTCTGCCTATTACCTTTCTCTATTCCTGTTTGGATTTCCCAACTGGCTAAATCCTGCCTGTCCATTGGCTGAAACAGCTTTACTTATCAACCAGCATACAGCATACAGCATACAGCATACAGCATACAGCATACAGCATACAGCATACAGCATACAGCATACAGAAGGACGACCCCCATCATGAGCCCTCTCACATCATCCACACTTTATGTTTATGCCGCCTGGCCTGGGTGCACTGATCTCATTGGTTATTGTGGGGGTGGTGTGTGTTTGTGGGCTATTTGTGTCTCCTCATTTACTCTCCTGTACTTTCCTTTACCCTCCCCACCCCACCCGCGTTAGATTCTTACTGATTCACAGAAGATCTTCACACATTCCCATGGTGGCACTAACCCAACACCTGCTTCTGTGTTGCAGATTCTTCTCTGGGATGTGCTTTTCACTGTCTTAATAGCATCCTTTGAAGAATAAACAGTTGGATTCTTCAGCAAGCCTGCACCAACCCAAATCCAGTGTTTGTTTCTGGTCCTGTTCAGTTTTGAGGCCCAGACCGCATCATTTGTAACTCCAATTCCAAGGGATCTGTCACCTGTTCTTTGCTCTGTGGTCACCTGCACACACATACAAATGCCACACACTCAATAAAACAAAATCCTTTTTTTTTTCTTTTTTTTTTTTTTCTTTTTTCTTTTTTTCGAGACAGGGTTTCTCTGTGTAGCTTTGGAGCCTATCCTGGCACTCGCTCTGGAGACCAGGCTGGCCTCAAACTCTGCCTGCCTCTGCCTCCCGAGTACTGGGATTAAAGGCGTGAGCCACTAAGCCCGACGATTAAAACAAAATCTTTTAAGAAGAAAGTCAACTGGAAAAGTTTGCAGCCATCCAGAAATGGATTGGTGGATGTGCTTGTCTAGTATGTACAAGCCCTGGATTTGATTTTAGTCTTCCAGTGTCCCCAAAAGTTAGTGGCAAACTGTGGCAAACATCTGGTCTTGGTGTTTTTTGGGTCCCCCCTCCTTACTTTAAATTCAGTTCTCAGTTTTAAAGCAATTTTCTCTCAGTCCCCTGCAGCAAGTTAATGAAGAACACAGGCTTAATTTAGAAGGAGAAATGTAGGAGTGTGTATTGTTTTCAAGACTTCATTTTTCGGAACCTAGGTTCACCCCACTCATTTCTTGATGGACAGCATATTATTAGGTGAGGGGGTGTTAGGGCCAGGGGTCAGAAAGCCAGGGTTCCAGACAAAGTGGTTCTCCCCCACCATCGCAGGGACTGTGTATTCTAGAAGGTTCCTGTCCAGATTGCTGTGCTCTGAGCGCAGTCTTATTTCAAGTAAAAGAAATTAGTTCTCTTCTGCTTTCTTTCTTCCTTCCTTCCTTTCTCCTTCTTTTTTCTTCTTTATTTAACTTTATTTTGTGTGCATTGGTGTGAAGATGTCAGATCCCTTGGATCTAGAGTTATAGACAGCTGTGAGCTGCCTTGTAGGTGCTGGGAATTGAACCGGTTAAGAGCAGCCAGTGCTCTTAACGGTTGAGCCATCTCTCCAACCTCTCTTTCCTCTTTTTTTTTAAATGTCATGGAATCACACAGATTAGTGACAGGGAACGGTCCAGTTTCAACTGGTCTCTGAATTGTCACAGGGCTTATCCTTGTTAATGTCAAGGTCTGGGAGAGTGTTTGATCGAGGGGAAGGGACCATGGGTGAGGCTGACAAAGAAAGGTCAGAGAAGAATATGAAATTATCTGGAGCCCCCATGGTAAGCAGCCCAGGCTGTCTTGCAGCTTCCACAGCTGGCCCTGTTGTTCCAGGCTTTGTCTTCCAGTCCCTGATGGCCCCTTTCAGAGCTGGTTGCTGTGGTGGCTTTTCTAATTCTGCTGCAGGGCTTCCTCATTTCCACAAGTGCTTTTCAGAGTCCCTTGCCCTCAGCTTAGGCACTTAGACTTCTCTCCCCTTGTTCTGGCCATACACTTTGACTTGAGCTAAGCCAAATCGAGACCTAATTCTCAGAAGTCTCTGCCTGCATCCATGTGGGCGGCCAGATCCACACATCACAAACCCCGTGTGTTTCTTATAAATGGCAGAAATGGCTTCTCATCATCCCAGAGACCGAGGAGTTTAAGACAAAGGCCTGGGCAGATTCAGTGAGTGGTTAGAGTCCCCTGCCTGCATCATAGACAGTGCCTTCGCACTGTGTTCATGTGGTGGGGAGGGCCACTGAACTCCAGAGGACATCTTACACTTTTGTTGTTGCTTGCTTGTTTGCAGTGCAGGAGGAAGGGGTGGATGAAATCCAAGGCCCCACTGAACTACATCCAGCTCTGGGGGACCTCTTTGT